CCTTTAGCTTTGATTTTTCTTTCTTTTCAACTTTTCCAAGATTTTTTTTGATATCTATGAATTGTTTTTTTTTCTATTCTTTGTAATGATGAATTTAGCTACGTTACGTGGGTTATATTCACCTTTCTCCTACTTCTTATGTGTTTTGTCCAATTCATATGTCAACAAGGCAGTAGCTTAATGAGACATAATGACTCTGAAAACCTCATTTATGGCTGTGTAATCTGGTGTCTTCGTTAGGTTCTTGGATCCCAATTTCAGATCTGCTATCTGAACGTGCTGATTGGATTTAAAGTCAACTCCTGGTCTAGAATATGCTTTAATAAGGGCACATTGATGATATAGCAAGGTGTAATAGGTATGGTTGTGTGTATCTCCTTAGTGTCTTAGTTGTTCCTTTTTGAAGGTATAACTATGAATATATATGTATGCATGTATGTACGCACGTATTTATATGTGTATTAATGTTTACATACATATATAAACACACATATTCAAACGCACTGTATATAAAGAAACTCGAAATGGAATCTTTATTCCTATGTGTTGAAGTTGGTAATAATCCAGATGACATAACGTTTTATACCTGAAATAGCAGAATTCCGACATCTTCTAAAGGTTGGCCCCACCGTTAGACACTTGTCACGCCTCCAGAAAGGGGAAAAACTCCTGAATTGTGAACAGTGCTACTCATGGGCGTGGCTCCATCTCACTGACTCCTCTGTCTCCTCCTTGCACCGAAATCCAGAACTCAAAGACCACTTCCACTTACACACACACACACACACACACACACACACACACACACACACACACACACACACACACACACAGAGAGAGAGAGAGAGAGAGAGAGAGAGAATTCGGTGAAAGCAATGCTCTTGTGGCTGAACGAGAAAAGAATGTATGGTTTGGTGATATCCTATGAGATGTATCATGGGGGGGGGGGGGTGCTGAGTGAGGATGCAGAGGAGAAGATGAAGACAAATGACTGCAGCCGCGCGTATTTCCGCTAGCTTGGGTGATCAGGAGTGCAACCACTGCAGTTTATTTATTTATTTTTTTCCATTTTATCATTCTGTCTTCATTTGTCTAAGGAGATGAGGGAAGCTCTAAGAAAGGGCGGAACGATGGAGTCAATGAATAATTAAGAGAAAATCATTTGATGGGAATAGAGGTGTTGCAAAAATATATAAGACGGAAAGGAGAGAGGAAGAAAAGAGAGAGAAGAGAGAGAGAGAGAGAGAGAGAGAGAGAGAGAGAGAGAGAGAGAGAGAGAGAGAGAGAGAGAGAGAGAGAGAGAGAGAGAGAGAGAGAGAGAGATTCGTAAGTACGCGGTATAACGGACACGGTAGACAGGGTGGCGTCACACTGGAAGCATCATCGTCGTTACGACATCGACGCTGCCGTCACGTTATACTTTTCCCTCCTTACTTTCCTTTTCCAGCGTATTCTCGTTTCTCCTTGTCTCCTTTTTTCCCCCCTTTTCTTACTGTTCCCCTGTTTTGCTCCTTTTTCCTCTTCCCGCTCCTCCCCTTCATTCCTCCACCCTCCCACCTTCCGCCGTCTTCTCTTCCTCCTCCCTTGCACCTCCTCTCCCTCCTTTCCTTCCTCTCTCGGTCTCTTTTCCTCCTCTTTCCTCCTCCCTCTCCACACCTTCCTTCATCTACCCTTGCTCATTTTGTCCTCCTCTCCTCCTCCTCTTCCTCCTACCATTCCTTTCACCTCTTTTGCCTTTTCCCTTCGTCTTTTTCTTCTTCCTACCTCTCCTTCCTCCTCCCTTTCACCTATCGTCCTTCATATCCTCCCTTGCATCTCCCCCTTCCTCGGCGACGGTGGGGGGGGGGCGCTCTGACGTCACTCGGGCGAATCCACGCCAAGTTCACGCATGTTTAAAGACGTTTTTCAGCCGATCATGCTACAATGCCCGGGCCGTTATGTGTCTAAGATGAAATTTCACGTTTCGGCTTCTCTTCCTTTTTTTTCATCTCTCTCTCTGTTAAAAAAGTATATATATACACATACACGCATATCTATATATACATTTATACAAATACACATATATATGTATATATACAAATATCTATATCTATATACACATACATATACATATACATATACATGCATACACACACACACATACGAGGTGGCCCGGGCGTGGACATATTTACATACGGCACACACGCAAAGCACCAGGTCACGTGATACCTGAGCTATTAAGGACCGGAAGTGTAATTTTCGTATCACCTGGAAGTTGGGGAAGAATGGTCACCTTAGATCGGGAGGAAATGGAGAAAAAAAAGAGAGATGGGAGGGGGAAAAAAGAGTAATAAAACATGGACACACACCAAAAAAAAAGAGAAAGAGAGACCGAAAAAAAAAACAAAAACAAAATAAAGAAACAGGGAAGATGGGTTGCTTGGGATGCTGTAACTGCTGTGCGTATGGCAAGGCTTTCACAGGTTTAACACACAGGATTAATTAGTCAAACATACAATTATCTAATAATTCTGAATAAACCTAAGATGTCGTCCGTAGCTCCAGGGAAGAACATTGCTTTTGCACCACTTGCATCCAAGGGTACGTGCCATGCATTCACACAGATAGCAAGGAATAAACAGACAAATGGAGAGGGCGGAAGGGA